CAAATATCAGACAACATAAGACAATATTTTTATGGAAAGGGGGAAGGATAAAGCATTCTTAGCTCGAGTAAACTACAGAGTACAAGTCATTCACTGGAAATGATACCAGTAAGAAAAACAAAACAAAACCCTCAGTCGATCTGTTCCATCAGTTGAGGAAATCATCAATGCTTGAAAGCCTAATTCATTCCTGAAGCATCATATCAGCACCTAAAAATTTTTAGGTCTCACTTATGTACTTGAATTGTAATGTTCACATAATTCTCAAGGACAATTACCCATTTTTACAAATCCTGATAATTCTTCAGCACAAGTCTCAACAGACCACAAGGTCAGAAATTAAAGTAGAAGTGAAGTTGTCATCCTGCTATCTAACTACAACCTGTCAATTAACATCGCAGGCACCTGATGTAAGAAGAGTAAATATTCAGTAGATACCATAGTTCTGCATATTTTTTCATAAGCAAGCTTCCAGGTAGTAGTGGTCTGAAACCATAGTATATCAGTGCAAAGGACATGTCTCTTTTAATAAACATTTAAATAAAAAGTATGATAGCTAAAACTCAATCATTAACAACATGATTTTCTCATTGCAAAACTGTCTACAACTTTCATCTAGGAACTGATTGCCATTACCATAGTGCCCATCGTCCGAACACGGTAACTCATGCCTCACTCATGTCCCTAGGATAACTCCCCAAGACTTTCAAGAATGTCGCAAATTCCTGTATGGACAAGATAATTTCATATTAATTTTAACGCAACAAAAAAATATCTGGTTGAGACCCAAAAAAGTTTATACCTTCAGGTGCCTAAGGGCATTTTGGGCATTGTGTGAAGCCATTGATGCTTCAAAATCTACGTAGAAGAGATAGTCGAAATACCTAACCAAGATATGCACAAAAAGTTAGTGCCAGTATAATAATAAGAACAACTGATCCAAAATAATCATCGATAGAGATACTGTTCAATTGACAAATGGTTATGATGATAACTTTAAAGGTCCGTTGCTGCCATCGTCAGTTATGCGTAATGGCTTATTCTTCCTGGGACGACTTTCAATCTGAGGAAACAGGTCGTAAGCATATCAAGCATGCCAACATGTAAAACTGAATACTTGTGGCAAGACCACATTAGTTGAAACAAGATAACAAACCTTTGTAAGGTTGATATCCCTCAAAGCAAAAACAGCAAGTGCCTTGAAAAGCACACCCGGGCCTTCTTCGAGAGAAAAAACTATGCTTGTCTGAACATGCAAAAACAATAGTATATTGGTCACAGATGTTGGCAAACTGTTAACCATTACCAGTATAAATTAAAAATTAAGTTCAACAAAAACTTTACTGGCATATTTGGGCAAAAAAAATCTTAATTTTAATATGCTTACCTTAAAAGGTCTATCAATTACTGGAATAATGGGTTCCCGTGCCAGCATCAGGAATCTAGTAATATTGTCGGAGTCATCCTAGACAATCCAAAAAGATTTGGCAAATAAAACACTAAGTGGCACAATAAGATAACTGCAACAGATCAACAAAACAAACATCATTACCTGAATATCTCGGGCAAGGATATCCAGTCCATATATTTCAGCGGCTAATGAACTGGCAACAGCCCCTGCATCTTGGAGTTTGTGGGTAGCAATAAACTAGGAAGAGTACATGTTCATCCATGACAATTGAACATCAGCTATGGTACTCAGAATAATCGAGGCTAACTCAAAAGAAACTTCAATCTAGTCTTCTAATTGTCAGTTTGCAAAATGATCTAACAAAATACATACTGACTTTCAAAAACCAAACAAGGAAACAAACAACATGGACAATAAATGAAGCATAAGCATCTTACATTTGCAGCTCCCGCTGTGTCATCTACAGATTCTCTGACAACCCCTAATTTTGCAAGCGTAGTCTCACACTGTGCAAGGGCCTGAAGTTATGATTGTATTAGCATGACTAGTCACCTGACAGCTAAGCAATTTTAATGAAAGAAATACCAAAAGAGGGGAGATGATAGTTGTACCTGAGGATGGCTGAGAACTCTTTTCAGATCTTCCTTTTTCACTCCATGATTAGCTAGTAAACAATGCCGAACTCCATATTTTACTTCCCCGACAATGTGCAAATTATGGCGAAGTAAAAGGTCATAATTACGATGGATGCTACCACCTAGTGAATTTTCAATAGGTAGAACTGCCCGATCAACAAGCCAACGTTCAACAGCCTGCAAGATCAGTTTGTGGGTAGCTTGAACAAATTTGTCATCCCGTGTAATGTTTGCTATTGGTAATTTTTCTTTTTAATACACTAGTTTACCAACAAATACTATTTATAATCCTACAATGTTCATTGCATAGTTGAGTCTACATTGCTTGTTCTAAGGTGATCATCTCATTCTATGTTATATGCAGTTGCCTTTGAGAATCAAATCACTTTGAATTATCTCTCTAAAGTTTGGTGCGATGATTATAGCTTTGTTTCATGCTGTGAACTTAGAACATAAGCATGTAAAGCACATCTGTAATTCACATATTTTATGGCATGAGCAGATTGTCCAGCAAAATTTTACAAGCAGCCATAAATTTTCATTTCTTTTAGATCACCCAACATAATTAGTTTCATGTTGAGAGAACATTTGGTGCTGGACACATGTATGCATTAGATACATATCTGTTCCTATTCTGCTTAAAATATAGCTTTTCGTCAAATGTTATCATTGCATGAGATCCAATAATAAGAAAATTTTATTAGAAATTAAAAACTTAAAGTGCTAAAACTAACCACATAAAAACATTTGAATTTGTTATTATACTTAATATATCCGTCCATCAATACTGCACCACAAAGTTAACTATGCCCTTTCTCACTCCTGATATTAATTAAACAATGGAAAAAAGATCTGCTTCCACAAAAATCTAGAATGGGCAATTGGCTAGTTGAATTGAAGCATGTTGCTTATTAGCATATATTCCTTAGGTATGTTTTCGATCCGAATCCCACAGATTCAAATTATATGTGAGACCTTTTGGATTGAGAAAGAAAAACATTTAATGCACACATTTGGAATAAGAAATAAAGATACACAGTCATGATCATTGTTGCTAGATACAACTAGTATCAAATCACTGCATGGGTCTCACCTCAAACCAGACATAATTGGATTCACAGCAATGGGGAATTCAGGAGGCAGGTTTAGTGCACAATTAGCCATAGTTATAAATTTTCTGAGTCCTGCTTTATTAGCTTAATATCTAAAAACTTATTTTATCAGCTCATCATGCATATCCACTTAATAGATTCATCGCATCATGATACATAGCTGTTCTCTGAAGAATATAAGTGTTCAATAACTGGCTAAAATAGTATAGGAATTCTCACAAAGGTGTTGTTCACAAGCAAGAAACAGTGATGGCACTTGTACAGTATGGTGACAAGAGGGAAACCGCACCACTAAAATTAGGCTTTTCTGCAGTGAGAAACATCCATTTAGGCAAGAAACCTGTGTTTATTCTCTAAATTCAAACCACAAGAATGGAAGTGTCGGTGAATGCTTATTTCCATAATGCTTTCATGTGCTAAACATCTTAGAGACAGATTATGTTAACCAACTAATGCTGAGGGTGCACATCTTCAAAAGCTTCATGGGGAAAATAACTACAACAAATTTAGACCTGCAGAAGCGCTTGAGAAGAGACACAGGAATAACGCAAAGCTTACATCAAAGGCAGTATCAAACTGCTCGCAAGGAACCGCTTCACAATTTGGATACGCCTTGGCTGCCGCAGCTTCACTGTATGCACCCGGGAGCCCCTAAAAGCACAAGAAATCAAAATTTTCCCAAAAACCCATCTATCACAACCAGATTGCTGCAGATGAAGAAACCAACTAAGCCAAATGTGCAAATAGATAAACCAGCGTAGATAAGAGAACAGAGAAATCGAATTCCAGACCTGGTACGCAACGCGAAATCTCGATCCATTAACCGAACCAGAGACATCAGATATGGATAGAGGCCCTAAAGAGAAGCCATTCCGCAGACAATAAGAACAAGAACTGGAAAACGGAACGAAAAAGACAAAAGGGCGAGGCGAAAGATGAGATTTATCATCCACCCACGAGGCAGAGACTGGGAATCCTTGCAGGCGACGTCGGCAGTGGTCTCCTCCAGCGACGCCCTAAGCCCGAGACCCGCGGCGTTGTTGATACCGCCATCGGCGGCGGCGCCTCCCCGGCCATGGTCCGATGCCATCGCGAGGGCGATCGGGCGCGGCCGAACGGCGACCCGGGTAGGCTGCTTATTTCCGTTGGATATCCGGCCGCCCTCCGCCCCGAATCGCGGTTTGAACGATGGAGTGCGAGTGAACGGGGTAGAATTCATCGAGGGTGTCTTCAAGAGACGTGCGCGCGCCGCGGCCGCTCCCCTACGAGGGTAAAAGATATAGGGGGGGAGGCTAACTCAAGGTGGGGCGGCCCCCACAGAAAAGAAAAAAATAATTATATTTAAATTTATCGGAACCCAAAAGTAAACACAATTTATCCCATAATTTCCGGGATAATTTGGTAACTAATTTATATTATTTCTCTTTCTTGAAACATACACAAAGCAAAAGCAGTAAAATTTTGTTCTCTGGAACATTGGTGATTAGTTTACCATCCAATTCAATCATCATCTTCATTACTTCATCTTAAGAGCTGTCCGAAGTCCTTCTTTAGCAGTAATTATTAAAACATTTCCACTTTAAGAACTTGTAGAGGAGCACAGTGCACCTTATCCAATTAAAACCACTATAATGTTCAAGAAATTGAAGTCCACTATGTCAACCTCATGAAGAAGTCAACCAAAATTACTGAGTCAAATATCTAGAAAGAAGTCGTTCCTCTTGCTTTTTGTCTTTTGAGGTCCATAGATTTTTCTTCTGTTCAAAGGCTGAAGCCAAAGTCAACCAAGAATTCTTGTTGGTGGAACTAATAGTATGCCCCATCTTCCTGTCAACCCCCACCAAATAGTGCAAACAAGCTTCTTTGATTTGTATGTAGATCAACAACCATTTACTTGTGATTGAGATGACTGATGTCTCAGTTCTAAATCAAGCAACCAATGCTCCTCAGTAATCAACAAAATGTTGTTAAGGGGCCTCTAATACCAAGACCAATGAACTAAGACTCACAAGTCCCTGTTGCTTATCCCCCATCATCTCATAGGGCTCCAAATTTTAATCTATATGCTTAAAAATATCAAAACAAGTGTTATGATTGTTCTTCTCGCAACCCGACTCAACAGGATAAGTTAATGGTACCATCATTCTCTCATAGACCAGCTTAAATCTTTCTACTCTTGATATAGGACTATGCCGCAGTGTTACATTTCCTATCACAAGTGAAGTCTATAACCTTTTCCTTGACCTTCAGAGCCAGGATCATTTCCCTTTACTTCATCCAAAATTGCAGTAATATATGCCGTGGTTTGAATAGGAGATCAGCTGCCGAAACAGGAATGAGTGAATGAAACTTTGGCATGTTTTGTTTAGACAAAATTGTTCAAATCATCCTACAAAAAGAGAGGGAGCAGAGAACTACTAACCTGGATGTTGCAGGCCATTCACAGTCCCTGTCGCCAGTAAGCAGAGAACTACTAACCGTAAACAAAACAGTTGTGTTTAGACAAAATTGTTCAAATCATCCTACGGAAAGAAAGGGATCAGAGAACTACTAACCATGGATGTTACAGACCTTTCACAGTCCTTGTCATCAGTAAGCAGCAAAAGAAGACATGTGATCCTCAAGCAAGGTTGATAAAATGGAAATGGCTATAATCCATTTGAAGTCCTCATTGCTGGATTGGTATTTCTGGATCAGCTTATATCTGGAGTACCATATTCTGCATCTCAGCAATACTGATGACTGCAAACTAAGTGCAGTTTTTCTTCTTTCCTTCAAATATTTCAATGAGGTTTCAAGAAGCAAAATTTACATGAGAAGAAAAAATTATGTAAGACTTTAAAATCGATCAGAAATTTCATAACAACTCAACAAATAAGATTCATATCCACTACTTTTCTGAGTGCACGTTTTTGGTTGCAGAACTATTTGCATTGGATGAAAAAAGGAGATATACAAAGAAACGAGGAATTCCACACAATCAAAACAATGATTAGCCATTCCAGAAAAACATACTTCCTATTCTGAAGAATTTCCAGGAAGAGGCAAATATTATGCTGCGCAAGTAATGGAAAATTCAACTACTTTGCGAAAAAGGGCAGATTAAAGAAAAACTTGAAATGGTACAAGCACCAGGTTTACCACAACAAACTTCAATTTGAAAACGAACAAAGAATATTACAGAATAAAGAATTGCTACAAATCATATAAATAACTTCTACCTGAGCAATTCAGCCATGATACCATTAACTTACAAGTCTTTGTTCACAATTCTGGCCTATGTACTTCTGTTTCTTGTCAACTCTAAAGATGAGTTCAGATGCTTTCAGGATCCCGCATGATGCTAGGACTGCTAATACATTAAACAATGCAGACCCTGCAAACTGTCTTATGAAACATACAAGATCAAAGAATGCATTCTGTTTCAGATAATTATCAACATGACTGATTTCTCAGTAAAAGAAAGCCATGACCACATATCATTTAAGGCAGATGCATTAGATCAATCAAAGATGAGAAATTTACTTCTTAGGATGTGGAAAGCAGGCATTACTTCACTAAATCAAACAGGTTAGAGAGTAAATAAAAGAGATCACTTGAGATTCCTTGAGAGTTCCACAAGCTATTTTATCTTATCCAATGTGAAGTATAAATAAAATGCATCGACGAGCCTTTTTTCCCTCATTTTCTTAGATACAATAACAGGTAGCCAGGATTTGAGAGACAAAAAGAGCAAGGTTAACAAAGGGTGACAAAAGAAAGCAGGTACAAATATTAGATGCTGGAGTCAGTTTCTGATGGCCAAATATCCACATTATATCATGCTTGTTTGTACACAAGACTTTAATATGGATTCTAATAGGGGTCAAAGAGATCACTTAAGTGGGGCTTAAAGAGTGTAAATGAGAAGCATCGAGACCATGACGATAGCTCCTGCCAGGGTGAACTTTGGACTTGTCCACAGCATGAGGTTGGGCCTCTCTGTTCTTTTTATGGGATCAACTTCTTCTGACAATGGGTAATCAGAATCCCTTGGATTCCAGTTGACATATTTGTCTGGCTTGAACTCTGAGAACATGGATTTCTTTCCCTGCTTCCGAAATTTTGTGCAAACCTTGTCCCAGTCTTTAGACGGCCTATCAACTGAGTGCCAAAATAAAAGTAGTCAACAATTAGTAAGGATTGTGAAGACCAACAAATTTCTCTGTATATGGAGGTATTGCAACTGTAAATATAAAACAAAATGCACAGAGATCCATACCTCATAAGTTGTGTATGCTAAAGGAAGAATATTAGTTATTCACAGTAAAAATGTTAAGCATCATTGAAAACCACAACAAGTGGTGGAACAATGAATAAATTCCATATTGTCATCTATCATAGAATGGATGGACTGTTGCATGAGTATCCAACAAATGCAAAGTCCGTGGAAGGTAAGCAAAGAGAATGCTTCTGTGGCACCCGCTCAGTAAGGCATTTTACCCATCACAAACATCTGCTCTCCATGAAAAGAATTATAACTTTCTGAAAAGTATAACCACTAGATGACGTAACCAAGATCATGGGGAGAAAACTTGATCTATAGTAAGATTGGAACTCACGGTTCAATTGTCTCTGAGGTAGAGAATATTCAATTGAAAAATAGCAGGCATCGCATATAAATATAGCTTTATACATGTCAAAGAATGGCAATGAGAGCCAAGCAGCATTTTATATATACTTCTGTGCTGGTGAAATTGAGGATACAAACAGAAAATTCCAATGGCATAGATTATCCACAGAAAATACTCAGATTTTTAATTTTCCTAACTTATACAGAAAATCTTGAGTAAATACACCTAAATAAAAGATGATAAATTCATTCCTTATTGTGAGATCATGAATTTCCCATTATAGGTCAGTCATCAAATGCTGACTAATATTCTGGTATTCGTAGGTGGTGAAATGCAAATCTGTCCAATCATATACATCAAAGTTTAAATTAATACAAGTTAATCTAAACTTCTGCTCCTAGCAGCTTTAAGTTACTCATTACATGAACAAACAAGATGACCAGATGTCATGTCAATTCTCGATACATCAGGAAGGACCACTTAGCCGATCTAAATAAAAGAATGAAACATTTTTTACCCTTTTAAGGTCAGAAAAAAAAACTGATTCATTTAGCTAAGTAGATGATTGTTCGATCAACTCACTGATCATCAACTTTGACAAAGCTGAGTTAACAATGAACGTGAGAGGAATCTAATTGAGGCATTCTTTACAACCAGAAGCCAACAAGTGTTCTGATTATTCTAGTAAGAAGTGATTGATGAACCAATTAATTTGTATTATTCAAAGTGATGAACACACAATCTCCTAGTTGCTCATAATAAGTGAAGCAATGAACAGTCATACCTTGAAAGCCACAGTATTTAGGTTTACTATTAGTGTCATTATCATTATCATTATTAGTACAATTCTGACCTTAACATCAAAAACTCAAATTGACTGTAGATAATTTTAAATAAGATCAACAAGTGATCCAAAATCACTCCTTCCTGGTGGAGACAGGATTACGCTGACACAAGGTACAGTTTAAAGTACTTCATGGCACTAGATTTGTCGATCATATCCACATAATATATACAAGAAGACATTTTTCTTTACCCAAAAACACTAATGGGCTTCTGGATTCAAGCAACTTTTGGATCATATAAAGATCTGTGTTATCATAAAAAAATGAATAGAATGGCAATACATGTAAAACCAATCAGTCCAACGAGTGGTAGAGTACTTGACTGTGAACAAATGTCCTGCATCACAACAGTGTATAAACACCTAAAATAGACGATCTCTACATCCAAGACATTCATTTTTTACACTTATCCTACAACAAATAAATTATCATCGTTTTAATACTGCACATCCGTCATTGGTCTCCCACAACCAATATCATTGATCTTAAAAACAAGAGAGGCGATTCTTTTTGCGCAAACAAGCAGATTCCAAGCTTTTGAATTCATCAGAACAGCAACAATACAAGAATATAGAGAAAGAAAACAACCATAAGCCTCGTCTAGGGTGAAAAGGCCGACCTTTATCGTTCTTGCTATTCTCCGGGAATCGAGAGTCGTCCTTGGAGCAACGAGGTCGGAGGGGGATCCGCGTACGAGTCTCCCCAACCCGAGATCCATCCAATCGATTGATCATGTGTTCTTGCGTGCATAATATAGAGATATGGACAAGCGAAGAGAAGAAAAGGGAAGCAAGAGGAGCTTTCAGAGAAGAGAAGAGCGGCTCTGCTCCGCCACAGAATACAAGCGAGGGGAATGCCCTCTCCAACGCGGTTGAGGTGGAGGATCAAAGAGGGCGATTGGTTCAGCTCACCTGTCATTGCCGATCCACCAATCAGGGAAGAGCTTCCTCCTATTGGTTCATATCCGGGAACCATCTTAACTGACCGTGGCTGCTGGCTGAGAGCAAGCCTGAAGTGAAAGATAAGGTGGCAGCGTCTTTCTGCTGTCTTCTTCTTCGACTTCCCCGCTTTCCCCCTCTTCCTTTGGAGTCTGGATTCTCCTAATCCCCAATGGACGCCTCTCTCTGCTACCTCCCGCCTCCAATCGCCCTCCCCAGCGCACCTGAAACCAATCCCTCGCCCTCAGCCGTGTCCCCAACCCCTGCACCATCCCCTGTACACCCCGCCGAAGAACGCGTTCTTCCTTCTCCATCGTCCGCAGCACCGTCTCCAAGAACACCCTCGTCAGCGACGCCGTCGAGGGCACCCCCTGGAGTGCCATCCGCCCCTGCCTCGAGAGCACGAACGCCTGGCTCTTCGTCCACTCCGAGGCGATCTCCGAGGCCCTCAAACGCTACCGCGCCTTCCAGCGCGAGCGCAAGCTCGAGGACAACGACTCCATGGGCGCCGTCTTCGAAGGCCGCTTCTACGGCCCCGACGAGTTCAGGTCCACTGATACCATGCCCAGCCGCGCCGAGCTCTTCGGCAAGATCCTATGTGCCCTGCAGAGCCTCGCCGTCTGCGCCGCTCGACGTTTCGCGCCCAGACTCACTCAATCGACCCAAAGGACCCATTTGGACATACATGAATTTACCAATCTAACCTTAAAAAAATATTAATTTTAGTTTATACTAATGTTAGAAGAACAATTTCTCTATAAAAATCACTCATTTGAGTTTAGAAATCTTACCTCGAGAAAAAAAAAATATTTTAGGTTAAAAAATATTTTCGTATAAAAAAGTCTCATTTTTATTTTTTAAAATAATACCCTAATTAAAAAATACCTAAATTATTTTTTAAAAAAATAATAATTGTACTTTTTTATTCACTATGATATTTTGGTATGTTACATTGTCTTGGTCATCACAATAAAAAAATTTAAATTATATTAAAATATATTATAAATGAGTTCAATGTAATTAAAATGCATTGAAAATCATTTGATAGATTATACTAGGATTCAAATAGGGTTTTATAATAATTTTAAAGTAATATCACCTAAATAGGAATAAAAAATTTAACTTATTATAATGTTTTGACTATCACAATAAAATTATTATAAAACCTATTTGAAAATACTATTAAATGATTCAAATGAATTCCTAACCTCAATCAGATTAATTACAAACTTAAAAATATAATACTGTAATGATATGCAAGCAATGACAATCAAGGCATAATATGATATCATTAAGAATATTTTAATTAAAAACACTATAAATGAGCAAAATGAAAACACTGTAACAGTTCAAAACTAGTAAAAATTGGATGAAATTTTTTGTTCAAAAGAGTTGGTGAGGGATATTTTAGATTTTTTTGAATTATGAGAAGCAACTTAATATTTAGAGTCTTTTTTGCTATTTTTAAAATATAAAAAAATCTTTTAAAAATATTTATAGCTCCCTAATTTTGATTTTTTTTTTCTTTCGCTACGGCTCTTGTGACCATCGCCTACGTACCATATCGTTGTCAATAATCACCCCCTAACTCGTGCTCTTATCGCAACATTAAAAAAGAATGAAAGGTCAAAGATGCTCTCATCCGAATCGAAGAACTCAATAACGAGAGAAAAGTCGACTAAACTACATGTGAAGAGTCTTATTACTAAAGGCGACGGTACCGATAATGAGAGAGCATTGAGGGAGAAATTTGAGAATGAAAACATCATAATCAAATAGAAAGAATTATGAGAACAATATAAAGAAAAGTTGGTATTTTAGTTTATTTACAAATAAATATTTGAAAATTTATAATTTTAAAATAGGATTGTAAATAATAAAGAGAGAATTATAAATAGTTATCTCATTGATAACTACTACAAGATCATAATAAGCCATAAATTAAGTATAAGAGCCATTAGCATCTATATAGATCTATGGAAAATAGGAGTTAATAAAAATCTCTCATTAAACTCCATATAAAGGATAATATGCATGAATAATGGTGGTGGTTGGTGTAAATTAATTAAATCGGTTAATTTATAGTAAATAATATAATATAATATAATATATTTATGCTGTCCTTATGTTAAATATATACAAATTATTACTAAAATTTTAATTATGTATTTTGAAGCAAAAAATGAGGCCCTCTAATTTTTATTATATTCTATTACTGTACGTATATTTGGTTTGTGCTCGCAGCTGTCCCACCCCCTCGGCAGTCAATTGACATGTAAGATGAGCTCTTCCCGTTTCCTCCGCCACTCACTGCCTTCTTTCTTCTCACTCCTTCCCACCTGCTCAAGAGAAGCGACAAAAAGGGTAGCACCTCGGAAGGATCGGACGGAGAGAGAGGATGGGAGGGTGCTTTCCCTGCGCCGGAGAGCCAAAGACGGTCGAGAAGGATCAGCCCCATCTTCCGACAGGTATCCGAGGTAGAATCCGCGGAAAAGTTGCGTCTTTTTTCTGATGGTTCTTGGGTTGTTTGGTTATGTGACTTGGCTACTTACTGGTTCGTTTAGTTGTGAGATTTAATTTGGTTGATTTGTTCCCGACAATCGGGTTTTGGTAGGAAGATGGTGGGTTTCGGCTGAAAGTTAGGTTTTCTGTCCGGAAATTTTGGGTATTGAGTCAGAGTTTGGATTTGATCTGCGGTCATGCGAATCCTTTCTTGTCCTTTGATATCTTTGATGGTTTCCCATTTATGAATTCGCTGTAATTGATTCTAGAAGGGGTGGTGATGATCGGTCATGCGGTATGAACTGATTGCTCGATGCTATGATGCAAAGACAGTTCCTTTTTCTTGTGTTTTCTCTTGAACTGTTCATTTTGGGTTGCAATTATTGTGGCCTTTTCTTTCTGCCAAAGTTTTTTTTTTTTTTTATGCATGACGTTGTTATTAGCATTTCAAAATTCCGATTTATAACTTGCTCTGATACCGTGATAATATGTTAGTTGAATATTTCTATCTCGAAACCTTAAGCTGTTAGGAAAGGAAGGACCTTGAACTCATATCATATTTCTACTTTTTTTTTCTGTATAATTTTGTGCTAGGTCCTCCGCAGGATAAACTCTATGGAATTCGCTCTCATATCCATATTCATACAGTTGGCTGTCACAACCACTGGAGTTAGTGGAGACTAATTTATTAACTAAAGTTAAATCTTGCATTAAGTTTTGGAACCTAAGAAAATGTTCTTTGTTTCCCATTGCTTGCTATCTTGAGTGTAAATTATTATCTATGTTTTCAAATCTTTGTATCTTTATTCTTATTTGTCATGTTATCAATAAATGTTCTTCCTGATAAATTTTGTGGCAGATAAGTCAAAATCCAATCTTTCTTTGGATGTTAAGAAAGAGAGCTTGGCGGATGAAAAGGAGACATCAAGTAATGGATCAGGACACATTGCTGCTCAGACATTTACGTTCAGAGAACTGGCTGCTGTAACAAAGAATTTTAGAGCTGATTGCCTATTGGGAGAGGGAGGATTTGGTCGAGTGTACAAGGGCAAATTGGAAAGTAGCAACCAGGTAAGTTCATGCGGTAAGGAGAGGACAAATATATAGTTATACGTAGATCTATTATTTCTGAGATTCTAAGAATCCAATGGTGGCAGTGTCAGTAAAATCTACTATGTAATATTTTATTTAGTGTTTAGTTGTTCTCCATATATCGAGTCTGAGTCTTGATGATTTTGCTTAGTTGACGGTTTCTTTATTTGTTTGCATCTGTATTGTTATTCTGAACCCTTTTTTATCTGTTCTGGTAGTTTAACAGATACTATTGCATATTCCTAAAGCTACTATGTTTGAACTCCTTACTGCACTCAAGAAATGTTTCTGCTATTTCATACTGTATTCCCTGGATCTAAGATTGCTAGCATAAGCTTTCGTGGTCTGCAGATTGTGGCTATAAAGCAGCTTGACCGTAATAGCTTGCAAGGAAACAGAGAATTTCTTGTTGAGGTTCTTATGTTGAGCCTACTCCACCACCCTAATCTTGTTAACCTAATTGGTTATTGTGCTGATGGAGATCAAAGGCTTTTGGTCTATGAATATATGCCATTAGGATCCTTGGAAGACCATCTCCACGGTATTTCACGTATAAAGCCTCATCATATATGATTTACAAGTTATTTCAGATGTATAATTCTTTACTGAAAAATATCTATTCATATGGTTGCAACAGACCTTTCTCCGGATAAGAAGCGACTTGACTGGAATACTCGAATGAAAATAGCAGCTGGTGCAGCGAAAGGCTTAGAGTATTTACATGATAAAGCCAGTCCTCCCGTTATATACCGTGATTTAAAATGCTCTAATATTTTGCTCGATGAGGGGTATCATCCGAAGTTATCTGATTTTGGCTTGGCAAAGCTTGGTCCTGTAGGCGATAACACACATGTTTCCACTAGGGTCATGGGTACCTATGGATATTGTGCACCTGAATATGCAATGACTGGACAGCTGACAATAAAATCAGATATTTATAGCTTTGGAGTTGTTCTTTTGGAGATCATCACTGGAAGAAGAGCCATTGACAATTCTAGAGCTGCAGGAGAGCACAATCTTGTTGCATGGGTAAAAACCTCTAGCTTCTTCTCTGTCCATCCTTGATTCCAGTAGTTAAATCATCCTGTTTTAATTGTCAACTGTTTTGCATCATTTTACTATGTTTTCTTGGTGAAAATGACAGCCTCTCAATTCTTTATAATGTTAAACGTTATTAGTTATCTTGTACTGAGTTAAAAATACTGATCTTGAATAAGTAGTTCTGAAGTTGATAACCAGTTTTTATGTTCATGAACTGTAATGTTCACGACGGAAAACAAATTTCCTCTTTTCCTCCTGAATTTACATTTCCATCCTACTACAACATCAGTTTCTCTGGAAAGGCCTCACTGACATGGTTTAGAACTCCCTGCTTTGTGGTCTGGATTGGATTTTGGCATGAAGTGATGTCATTGTCGACATCCAGTTTTCAACCTCTCACTCTGGGACAAGACCTTAGTGCACCTTGGTAGTTTTGACCTGTGGCTTGAACCTAGATGGAAGTTTCCTGGCTCTACAAACATGCTCTGGACCAAGTTGCACCCCAAACTAAAAGTTGGTTAATTAATTTATCGTGGTTCGTAGTAGGAAGGAATTACTTTTGTTGATCTTTTTAGTACAGAATCTCTTTTAAGCTTGGCCCTTCATGATGATGGAGAGGGCTTTTCTTATCTGGATCGAAGATAATTTTTGGGTTCCTTTTGTGTGTCAATCCTTGTAAATGTGCTGTGTTCAATTGCAGGCACGACCACTGTTCAAAGACAGGAGAAAATTTTCACAGGTGGTTGATCCAGTGCTTCAGGGTCAGTATCCTCCAAGGGGTTTATATCAGGCGCTTGCTGTCGCTGCAATGTGTGTGCAGGAGCAACCTGCTTTGCGGCCCCTGATAGCTGATGTTGTTACAGCTCTTTCATACCTTGCTTCGCAAAATTTTAACCCCGAAAGCCAACCAAATCAGAACACCTCTCGTTCGACCACACCAGGTACACCCCCTCGAACCAGAAGGGACACTGAGAAGAGGTCCGGATATTGAGGTGTTAAGTTGTGGAAGTAAAGGAGGGTATAATTGGATCCATGCAGTACTCTGCCAGTAGCTAATGCCAAGTGCATGAACCTTGCAGCTTCACCTGGCCTAGTACCATCTCTTGGCAGTAGATCCTACACATATTTTGCCATGTAGTTAATCATGGTTGGGGGCATCCCCTCCTTCGGCTGGTTCCTTGGTTTCTTGTGCCAGTTCTTGAACCAAGTTTGATGCCAGGTTGGCCTCTGCTCGACTCAGAATTAATTTTATCTGACCAAGTACATTCTTTTTGTTGTTGAGTATGTAATTTTGGTTGCTTATACCAAAGTGAATGTATTAGATGGCACATCTTCTGATATTCCTTCTATCTTGTTTTAGAATTTAGCTAAATACATTGTTCAAGTGCTTTTCACATGCTTACTTACCTTGCTATAGAATTTAGCAAATTTGGATCTTTGGAGGTGAGAACAGGCATTTCAGAGTGCAGCCTCCATTATTATAATTGTACAGGCATGAATCAGGTCAGCTGGCACATTATGGACAGCCGTGTCATATGACTGCCAGCAGGCAAGTGATGGCTTCCCAGTGGGGATAGTGTACGATCATAGTATAAATGGTGTGGAAGGTCACCAGTTGCCTTGGCATCCTCTAGTGATCTGTACACCAGAAAGGCTTCACTTACCCCGGTATGCCCCAGTATTTTGGGTCCATTTGCATTTTGATTGTCCTGGATGTGCTCAGTCAAATTTGCATTCTTGCTATGTTGTTACCAACCATGTAAAATAATGGCACCCTGTTGTTACTTTGGTCACCACAAGGGACTCGAGAATATAATTTTTTTTGTTTACTTTTTCATTCTTTATTCTCATTTATATTTAATTTGTGTGGAAAAGAGTGTGGCCCAAATCTTGTGAATATCTTCATGAACTTCTCTTAGATCTTGCGAGATAAGCATGCCTTGAAGATTTAGTCAGTATTGGTGGTTCATCATCATCATCATCATCAGAACGTGCTTCTCATCCTCATTTTTCATTGTTTTCTTTGTACCTGTCATTTTCATCATCATCCTATTTTTTATTGTCCTGTCATTTATGTTACTGTCATCCATTACGTTGAAGTTTGATTTTATGTTGGCCATCGAGTTTGTGGAATGCATTTTATGATGGAAAACATTTGACATCTGTGTTTTTGCTGTGAATCTTTTTACATACTTTACTGAAAAAATAAGACTTTCTTTGTGTATAAAATACATAAATATATATATGATTTTTATAATAAATCTGGCTGTTAGTATTAGTGTATCTGTTGAACTTCATGTAGCAGTGGTGATATTATGAAGCTTTATCAGGAGGTGTTTTGATCACGATCGAATGTAGATTGATGTCGACATGAATATTTCATTTTTCTCATATTAACCAAAAAAAAATATTTTTTGTTGCCGCACAGGTCAAATCATCCCTTTAGGAAACCTGATGGTGAATCACGACCGAGGAGAGACGCCAACTCAAGTAGGAGATGGACGGTGAGGATCATCTGCGTTTCCTTTCTTGTGTAAGAAGCAAAGCAAAGCAATGATCATCGAATACAGAACTGCAATGGAGGAGCAGTTACTTATCTTAGCTCGGTCAACCTATCACCTGGATATAGAAAGCCTTTCCTTGACAACGAAGCGAGAGGAAAAGGAGGGGAGGAGAGAGGAGTCAAACTTGGCTACAGACCAGGGGGCCGTTGGTTGACTGCCCTCCACCCACCCTGCTCGGTCAAACCTCCATCTCCCTCACACCAAACTCACCCTTATTATTATTTATATTATTAATCAAATAAAACAAAGAGAAAATCACAAAAATACCCTTCTTTAACTCCCTATTCATCCTTTAAATAACTTGCAATAATTTTAAAAAAACGACAGAAAAATTAAAAATATTAGTAAAATTAGGGAAGAAATGATTAATATGTAAAGATAGAGAAGGGATAAATATGTAAGTTGAGGAGATGGGATATAAATATTTTTGCTTAAAATAAAATATAATTAAATAAAAAGTAACGAGATTTAGTTATTGACTTCACCCAAAATCAAATATAAGTAAATGGAAGGAAAAATTAGAAACAGTCCTCGCTCCGACACCTGCCTCCGCGAGAGGTAAACCCCTCGGCCGATTCCAGCGCTCGCTCGCGGAAATCCAATCCACCACCTTCCTTTACCCCCCTCCCCTGCCTCTCCTGTTGCTGTCCCCATCGCCCACCGCGGAACCCCTCCCCGTTTTGGTCTCCCCAGCGAGATCGGAGGCCCCCCGAATCGATCGAGATCGATTGGACTCCGGGAGCTCCGATCGAAGAGTCCGGCTGTGGTGGTGGTGGTGGTGGTGGCGGCGATCGACCGTGGTACGGATGAGTGGTGGATGGTCGCGCTGATGAAGATCGTTAGGCCATGCTGGAAGCCGGCGCCGGAGGAAGGGAGAGGCCGCGGCGGCGGGTCTCCCGCCCGCGCCGATGGCCTCCTCTGGTACAAGGATCTCGGCCGCCACGCCGTGGGGGAGTTCTCCATGGCGGTGGCGCAGGCGAATAACCTGCTGGAGGACGGTAGCCAGATCGAGTCCGGGCCGCTGAGCTGGAGCGAGGAGGCGCCCGGGCCCCACGGCACGTTCGTCGGGGTCTACGACGGGCACGGCGGACCCGAGGCGTCGCGCTACATCAATGAGCGTTTGTTCTTCCACCTCAAAAGTACGTCCTTTTCTTTCTTTTCTATTTTGGATAACACCTCTCATTTCCCAGTTATCCGTTGACTTGATTGCTTGTGGTGCGGTGCGTTCTTCATTTAGATTGTGGTTGATATCTAAAAAATGTTTTAAGGATTTTGTGCATTTTCTTCATGGATTGATTTATTTTTGTTGGTAAATTCGCAAAATCCCAACATGAATTATGTTATCTGAATTTTGCTGTGTTTCTACATGTGTTCTATTGCCTAAGTGTTTTGTTATCCATTCTGCGGATAGCTTAATAACGTTAGATTTACATAGCATACCTGTGTAAGGATGGCAGGAAACTGATGGTTCCTCTTGAATATTTCTATCTTCTGAATCTTACCTGGAGATTTGCTTTATCATATTCTAAATGGTTGTACTTGATGACCTAAATAATTTCTCACGAAACAATATACTACTTATTGGCATTAATTCTGCAGCTTATATCTGGTAATTCCAAGCTTATCAATCCAAAACTTTGCTTAGATTTTGCTAATTTTGGTCAAAGACTCAAAAATTCTTAATTCTCTTGTTCAGATACATCTGATTCGATTATATGTTATATCCATAATTCCTTGGTTGTAGTAACAATGTACATGATATGCAGAGTTTGCTTCGGAACAGCAAGACATGTCAGTAGATGTCATAAAGAAAGCATTTTCAGCGACAGAAGAGGGATTTATCTCTTTTGTAAGAAAGCAGTGGTTCACTAAGCCGCAGATTGCCTCTGTCGGTTCATGTTGTTTGGTTGGTGTTGTATCTGGGGGAATACTTTATGTTGCAAATCTTGGGGATTCCCGTGCAGTGCTTGGGAGATTTGACGGAGGGTTTAGAGAGGTTACAGCGGTCCAAATGTGCCCCGAGCACAATGCGAGCTTTGAATCTGTGAGAGAGGAATTGCATTCATTGCATCCCAATGACCCACAGATTGTGGTTTTGAAGCATAAGGTTTGGCGTGTCAAAGGCCTCATACAGGTAATCTAATTTTCTAAAATTATTATGGTGATCAGTGAGATTTTGCAAATTCATTCATATCTAATGCTTCTTATAACCTTTTTTTTTTTTTCATAACCTGGGTTTTATAGTATGCATTTTGAATAATTTTTGTGTATTACATCATGGTCATCCCTAGATGTTTGTTATAGACAAATATACCTAGAAGTGGAGAAGGGATGGCTTTTGGTACTAGAATCATTTATTTGCATGAAGCTTTTTAAGGATGTTTAATCACTTTTAACAAGGTGTGGACAAATTCTCTATAAAATTTACTTTTCATATCACCTTTTATAAGATGAGTTTTCTCCAGATAGAAAGCATACCATATCTCCTTCAAACAAAATATTAGAATTAATATTAACAGTTGAGCAGCCCCTTGTAACAATCTGATGAATCATTACTTCCTAAAAGAAGTTTGATGAAGACATCCTAACTCGTACAGTGATAATGAGAGACTGGTTTTCAAGTTTATCTACCAAACATTTGCAAGAGTGAAGTTTGATGGTGGTAATTGGGATGTTGCATCATAACTTATGTGATACGTTTCATGTCTGGTCGTCTAGAAAGAGATGTTATGTCTACTGAATATTATAGGGCTCAGTGTCACGTTGCAGCTTTGTTGATTGAATGAACAACGGAATGTATAATTTTTTGCTTCATATTTCTTGAGCATGTCAAAACATATTTTTGTGTGATTTCTCTAAGATGTTTATTTAGACCATGCATGCTACTTTTATATGACTTTGTGTGTCTTGTGTAAAAAGGCTTGGATGTGATTGATGATCTCAGTTTAGATGACTTTGCTTTCTTTTCAAGCACAAGTGCAGGTATCATTTGATATTTCTGGCCAGGGTCTGTGCACAAGGACATTATCACAATAATACAATGCAAGAATTTTTCACATATTATATATTGAATGAAACAGTATAGATTTTTTTTTTGTGAATCATATGGAGTTGTCTTGAACCTGTGATGTGAAATATGTTGGCTTGTAGGATCGATGCAAGAATTTCCATAGTGTTTTTGAGTTCGCAACAATTTGTAGTTTATCCACGAATTCCCAAGATTGGTTTTGAAATACCTGTTTTGTACTCAATGATAAAGATGTGCTATTGTACTTTTTTTTTCTGATTGACTTTTGTGTTACAAGAAGATTTGCAGGTACAGGTATAGAATTACTGGACTTTGAGTACGTTCTAGTTATCTTCAGCCTTTTAAATTGATTTGTCTGCAGGTTTCAAGGTCCATTGGAGACGCGTATTTGAAAGACGCAGAGTTCAACCGTGAACCTCTACTATCAAAATTTCGACTTCCTGAACCCTTCCAAAAACCAATCCTTAGTGCCGAGCCATCGATAGTGACACATAAACTCTGTCCTGAAGATCAATTTATAATATTTGCATCAGATGGTCTATGGGAGCATTTGAGCAATCAAGAAGCTGTGGATATGATCCAGAACTACCCTCGTAATGTAAGATGTTTTTCCTTTTTCCAGGTTTTCTTTTGTATGGATGACATATTCTTCTATGATTTTAAATCATTTTTCAACCTTTTTTTTATTTTTTTGTCTTAGATTACTGTATACTGGATTGTATCATGATAGGTAATAACTAAACTGGTAGGTTTTCGACCTGCCGATAATAGGTAAGTTACTCTCTTGGGGATTATTTATTATGACCCGGGCCTGATGGGCTAACTAGCCTATCAACTTCGTTTGGTCTAAACCACTGACCAAAATGCTTAAGCTGAAGTTGATAGTAGTACACTCATCAGACCCTTATAAGCCAATCTTAATCTTGCCCACTTTCGATGTGGGACTAATCAGGGGTGTTACAATCACCCCCACTCAAAGGCTTGAGGTCCTCGTCAAGCCCCAACATAACCCAGATCAGACCCTAGCATAGTGCATGTGAGGCGTAGCCCAGTGGTGGCTCCACGCCGTGACGAGTCCTCTGACTCCGTCTACGAGTAGCCCTTTCCTACTCGAGCCCCCTCACCATGCCCAAATGCTAGGTCGGCTCTGATACCAAATATTATGACTCGAGCCTGATGGGCTAACTAGCCTATCAACTTTGTTTGGTCTAAACCACTGACCAAAATGCTTAAGCTGAAGTTGATAGTAGTACACTCATCAGACCCTTATAAGCCAATCTTAATCTTGCCCACTTTCGATGTGGGACTAATCAGGGGTGTTACATTATTAGTCTTTTGTTTAGCAGCATTTGTTCCAAGTCCTAGCATATCTGATTTTGTTGCCAAGCAAATACATTTATCCATGAGAGATCTTGTCCTTTCTGAAAAAAATTGACTATGTTATGATGAACTGGAAATCCTGTTTTTTTCATGGTCTTCTGTTCCAAAAATGTTTGGGCATCATAGATGCTTATTTTATCTTATACTTTCCAGTTTGTTTAGTAGACATGATTATTCACCATTCCGAAGTATTGTGTTCTATAAGTATCTTCGTTTCTTACATGTGCCGGCAGAGTCGCAACCTCCACAACTTCTTTTACTTTCATTAGTGCCTCATCTTTGTTTTTAGCTTTCTGCTCGGGCTTTACTTTCTGATGCTTAAGGTGCAGCTTTCGCTATGCTACAAATATTCAAACTGAAACCAACAGCTGTCCTCTGGTGCTTCTTGGTCCTGCAGGGTATAGCAAGAAGACTTGTCAAAGCTGCACTTCAAGAGGCAGCAAAGAAAAGAGAAATGAGATATTCTGACCTGAAAAAGATCGATCGTGGAGTGAGGAGACACTTCCATGATGATATAACCGTCATAGTGCTATTTCTAGATCCTGCTCTAATAAGTAGGAACTTCTACCATGGTCCTGTACTTTCACTTAAAGGAGCTGGTGTCCCTGTCTAAGCAGAATCGAGTCTGGAGTTCCCTGTTGCTTCATCCAGGGTCTGTCTCCCAACAGGAGTTAGAATCTTCTCTTACTCTTCTAGCTCGGAACTGCAGTTTCAGGCTGTCAGCAAAACACGTAAATTTCATTGATCAAAGGCAAGAAGCATTATATCACCAGGATGGAGGCTTTTATCTAACGTGACAATCTGCAATTTTGCTTTTGAAATAGGGATGATTAGCAATTATGATTACTGTTGTTGGTTTGACTTGACAGTGAAAGGCTGGCTTCAATTGTGTCAAAATCTTGTTCGAAGTTACTGCCTCTGAACTGCAGGTATAGGGATTCGAGTGGTGTATAATTTTGTTTGTGAAATAACAGTTATGTTTCTACTTCCTGTTGAGTCAGAATATTATTGGACTACTGAGCCATTTCGTTTATGCTCTTTGATTTCACAGTGTGGTTATTTCTCCAACTTCCAATCTTTCTTTTTTTTTCCTCTTGTGAGAGGTGTTAGTGTGAGCATAAAGTGTGAAATACTCCATGAAAACATGTATTGACATACAGATTTTAGTTTCCATTTTTCACCTGCTCTTATGTGATGATTTCATGATGAAATGTACAAACTAAATGATTTTATAAATGATTTTAGTTTCCATTTCGTTTAGGCCTCGAAGCTCTTATTCTAACGTCAATCTAATAAGGTAGATCTGATCAACTTATGAGTCCTTGGTTTTCATACTTTGGGACTAAACGATCTTATCAATATATATATATATATGAAGTGCCGATCTGTAATTTTCAACATGAATCGGTGGGAAGAAACCAAACTTTGAGTATGGTTTTACGTCGGGATCCTCCTTTATGGCAATGCTGTGTGTGCTACAGATGGTAGTCTATACATTCGCATGGTCACGGATATGGCACTTTGTCTTACTGCTCTGCCCACCGTAGCTCGGTTCACAAATCTTGAACAGATGAAAAATCTTAGAAATGATTTATAGAGATTGGAACCTAAATTAAGAAAAATACATCTATCAAATTCCTTATAAATTAAATTTATTTATTTATTTATTTTATCTATTTTCAAAATTAAAATAAATCAAGGGTGTTACTTAAAAGTAATAAGTTAGTTTGGTCAACTTAAGACCAAAAGAACTATTTTTTAGTCGTTGTTCGTATCGACTACCTTTTCATAACGGGAGATGGGAGTTTTCAAGCTGGTTCGATTGGATCCAAACCACTAAGTATAAAAAAAAAAGAAAATTTTCATTCGATTCGATTAAAACAAGATAGTTCGAATCAGAATCGATTCACAGCTACGTAACCGAACAAAATAAAAACCGGGAATTTAGCAGTGAAGGTGATAATATGTGCCATAGATGTGAGACCCGTGGGAAGACATCAACGGACACCGTTCTTTTACAGAGGCAGTGGTCTAAATTCTATCCCTCCACGCACGATGGGAGGAGGAGGGACAACTGAAGGAGGATTCATGGGAGTCGAGGAGGTGAAGCGCATCGCCACATAGATAACAAGCATGCCGGATAATTATGCTCGCTCGCTTTTCATTACCAAAAGCATTAGGATATCTTAAACGAATTGACGTCGCAGAAGTTACTCTTCTCTTTAGAACGGAAATGAGAGGTGGAGGACTTCTCTTTGCTTTCGTTGTTCACGATGAAATGAACAAACAAGTCTCATTCTATTACAATCAACTTTTGACGGTATTCTCATTCTCTTTAGAACGGAAATGGGAGGTGAAGGACTTCTCAGTGCCGTTTTCATCCAAACCATCCAGACCAAATGGCAACACCAACGTCTACAAATAGAACAACCAAGCAGACCGCCTGAGAGTAGAGGAGGTGAGACGCGTCTCCACAACGAGAACAAGCATGCCGGTGTCCGAAGAAGGAAGCCAGCAGCAGAGCAACCGGCTTGTCGTCGTAATATTTCCCCTCTTACACTCGTTTTTCCCTTGATTTCTCCTTTATTAGATTTCTCTCGCTGATAAGTCGAATCGCTTTATGACAGTTCATCAAGGGCATTCTCCACTATGCCAATCGATTTGCTCCATCTGTTCTCGCTGTCTTGTTTCTTGTGATATATGTAATTGCAGGCTCCGAACCAGCGGTTTCCTATACCGGATTCTCCTTCCTACTCTGCTCTGCTCTCTATTTGGGAGCTCATCTACTGGTGAACGGGAACAACAACTGGTGTTGGCGCAGCAGAGCTGAGATATGGAGCGCCGTGAAGCAATCTGCAATTGCCAACATGAAATGGTGCGAAGAAAACAAGCTTCGACTGTGGTTTTACATTGGGATCCTCCTCTACGGCAGTGCGCTGTTTACTACGGATGGTAGCCGGTACATTCGCGTGGTCACATACGTAGCACCCTGTCTTACCGCTCTGCCCACCGTGCTTCAGTTCAACCAACCAATCATAGATCTTGAACAGATGAGAATCCTTAGGAATGATATACGGAGATTGGAACATATGATTGAAGAATTATCACTGGCACCTGTTAGAGCAGCAAGGGATGCAGGGGTCCAGGTATTTGTGGAAGCCATTCAACAAGTCTAATCCAAATGCAGTTGGGTACAACGATTTGTAATGTAACAAAGAAGTAAAGACTGGCCAGACTGATTTAGTTTATAGAAAATGCCTCTCCTTCCCTCGATCCTTTGAGCAAAAGGGATACTTCGCCTTCAAATCTGGCCAAGATTTCATGTTCCCACCAAAGTCACGACTAAGCCGATGAAGCTCGCCTCCTATATCCCATAATACTTCTGTCGCCTTCGATCCTTGCAACGAGCTAGTCCTCTTTGTCTCCCGCAAGGCTATTATCATTGATGAAATTGTATTCAAAATACGTTGTTAAATACATGGAGCCTTTGCTTATTTATAGGCAAAAGGAGGGAGGGAGGGTCTAGAAAGATATTTGTCATATTTTCTCCCATCATAAATAAGCAAACAGAGGCCGTGTCTTCCCCAACCCTCCCCCAACGTAGCTGTGTCTTCCCCACCACCACTCGCAGGAGGAGGTGCATCGGTGGAGGAGAGGGGAAAGAGAGGAAGAAGAGGAGGGAAAGGGAGAGAGAGAGAGAGAGAGAATGAGGAAGGAGTAGGGAGACAGCAGAGGAGGAAGGAGAGGGAAGAAAGGACAGCGGCTGCGGTGGAGAAGGGAAGGAAGGGAGAAGAAGGAGAAGGAAAGAAAGGAGGAGAAAGAAAGCGGGGAAGAGAAGGGAGAAGCAGAGAAGTAAACGCAGGTGAGTTGGCGGCTGCGGCTGTTGGAGAAAAGGAAAGAGAAGGAAGAGAGTTTAGAGGAAGAATGGGTCAGGTTGGGTTCGAGCCTCGACCCTCGAGCCCCGTCTTTTCTCTTGGCGAATGATTTATTTTTTTGTTATTGGGTTTTTGCACGTAGGTCGGGGTCGGGGTCGGGGTCGGGGTCGGAAGAGAGATTTTCCGACTCGATCCCTCCGAAACTTAAGTTAGCTTTTGGTCAAATGAAATAGAGTTGAGTATTCGAAGTCCCCCTCCTTCCTGATTAAGGAGGGTTAACTTTTATACATGCGATGATGAGTTGGTCGTATGAGATCAATTAACTGCGGTCGGCTCCTCGGGCGACCGACTTTAGCTTATGAACGAGCGCTGATCGACCTGCATGGATCGGCGCCGCGCGGCGTCGCCCCAAGCTTTCCGGGATGATTGTATCATGATGATATCATTTGTACGGAGGGGGGAGACGAGCGTTTGCCCACCACGTGTGTGTTGCACGCCACATCGTATCTGTTTACGTGGGTCCACGTGATAATACCAAAATATGCCCTATCAAATTTTAATTTAAAACATATCAATTAAGTTTAATTTTTGTTCCGATTATCTTACTTTAATCAAATCGAATTGAAAATATGATTTGATTCGATTTGAACACCCCTACCTTCGGTCGTGAAAAGGTAGTCTAATCGATATGAACAATAGGTGAAACTAACTTGTTATGACCATGCGAATGTATCGGCTACCATATGTAGCACACAGAGCACTGCTATAAAGGAGAATGAATCTCGATGGATCCCTTCAGGGCACTCACTCCATATCTCAGCTCTGCTACGCCAACACCAGTTGTTTGTTTGCCGATGAGCTACCAAATAGAGAGCAGAAAATAAGAGGAAGATGATGATTTTAGTGAAGGAAATCGCTGATTCAGAGCCTTTAATTACATACATCATGAGAGACAAGACAACGAGAGAAGAGGGATCAAATCGATCGGCATAATGGAGAATGCCACTAATGAACTGTCCTAAAGCAATTCCACGCATTAGCAAATGAGTATAACGAAGGAGAAAGGGGAAAAAAGGAGTGTAAGAGTGGAAATACCACCAAAAGCTGGTTGTCAGCCTTACACGATTAGAAAGACCCAAAAGTTCTTCCAAGCCATAGCCTTAAGTTGGGGATGGCAAAATGAAGGGAAAATTTGCTCTATATATGAATCTTGATTGATAAGCATACTTCAATTTGAAGGACTTTATGCATAAGTGATTTACTCATCACGATGAGACTTATCTACATGTACATGATCTTTATGTGCATGCATCTCTCACTAGTTTATATACATGATCTTAATGTGCATGCACTGACTTCGTACACTCAACACTTTCCATAGAAAAACCAAACCAATGCTTCATTTATGCATGTGTTTTCTGCCCATTAATTGATCTATGATATGGCTATGAGGAAAAGAAAAAGAAGAAAAAGTAATTTTATGCACCAAAGACAAATCTACTCTTTGTAGGAAAAATATGCTTATATTCTATATATTTTCACTCTCTTGATGCAATGAATCTAACAATGGCTTGGACTATAAATCAGAGTATCAATGCTCAAGTTTGCTCAAACCATTCCTCTTTCTCACTATCATCTCTCTCTCTCTCTCTCTCTCTCGTAACAAGCTAGCTAGCTTCTCTCACTGTCTTCTTTGTGATATATGTGATTGAAGGTAGAATATGGAGCTTGTCTACATTGGGATTTGGTGGAGTCTCTTTTCAAGACTATGGCTAAGACATGGAGTTCCAACATGAGTTGGTGCAAAGATTACAATTTCCTAACTGTTTTCACTTTCTTACTCCTCTATTTGTTGCATACGGTAGTCGACATATTCGACATATTCGCATGTTTATATTTATAGCTGCATTTTCTTATTGCTTTGGCCACCGTAGCTTTGTTTTAGATTTATAATTTTTTTATAGGTTGTTCATTAAATCGAGCTATGGTAAGCAAAGCAATAAGAGAATGTTGCTGCAAATATGACCATCCGGATTGATATGTCCATCACCATCTACACCAAATATTGTAATGAGGGATTGAAAAAGTACTTATTGCTTGTGCTCTTCGACAATATATCTCACCCCTTCGTAAGCTACCAAGTTGTGAGAGTGAAAAA